TATAGTTTTTTTTTTTTTTTCTATTCATATTGTTTCTTTTCCTGTTACTAGCTTTGTCTCACTTCTTCATGATTTACCACAGTTTCTACTAACCAATGATTTCCTCTGTTTCATAGATTCAGAATTTCTGCTTTTATATATCTCTCTATTTATATATGGCTCTCTGTTTCTATTCCTACTGCCCACTGCTGGTTCTCTACAAATTTTTCAAATCCACACTCTACCAGCAAGAGGATCTGATTGCCCTGATTCCTATTTACCATTTGTTTGGCAAAGTTCCTATGATTGACTTCTTGGCTCTTGGCCAAAACCCAAATGGACTTTAGTCAGGAGGCATTCCTCATCAATTGGCGATAATCAGGATGTGTAGTTGTAGGTCAACTTTCTATAGAAAGCCAGGTGCTTTTCTATCTCAGTCTTCCTGCTAGAAACTGGCAGGATTAGGGGCAGATCTTCTTTGGAATATGGGTTTGGGTGAAACGTAGTGACAGAAAGCAAGCTTGGGCAGTTGACATAGTCAACATCCTGCTCCTTGGTTGGGGTTCCACTCAACTATATCTTCATTCTTTAGACCATTTGGTCCTGATGATCAAAAGAAGACTCTAGAATAAAAACCTGAGGTCTTTCAGTAGTGAGTGTCTTGTGGGGACCTGTCTACTTCTAGTTCACTGTACTGCTTGGAGTCATGCCTTCAGGTATCCAAAGACCTTCCTTTTTTATGCTCTGGACTCTAGAACCTGATGGCTTATCCACTCCCATGCACCATGAGGCTGACGAAAGTCTTGCTTATACCAAAATTTTCTATTAGAGGAAGTTGTGAGGTTGTCATAACGGCTATCCTAACAACTGACAGAGATATTTTTGTTGTTGTTGTTTTGCTTTTATCCGTGTGTACAGACATTTAACAAACTAGTTTTTGTGTAAAAAATTTAAGATGTCGAATACAAAAATGTGATTCATGGTTAAATTAGTATATACAATTATAAGTTTGGAAGTAAATAATGTGGTTGTAAAAATTAATACAAGAGTGAGTCAAAAATTATCCATACTCTAGCTGTAGAATTTATTTTAATCAACTTTCAAAAAAGACAAATACATTATTTTGCAACATAATTAATCTCCTTGCTTTTCAATACACTTCTTCTGTCTGTCAACAAGCTTTTTGTATTCCCTTATTAAAAAATGTTTTAGGCTGACCTGCAAGCCACGAATGCACCACTGTCTTCTCTTCTTCACCAGTGGTGAATCTTTGTCCTCAAAGGGCTGCTTTCAGGGGACCAAGCAGGTAGAAAGTCTGATGGAGCAATAACAGGACAATCAGAAGGATGCTTAGCACCTCAAAACGAAGTCTTTGCAGAATATCAATAGAGTGGGCAGAAGTGTGTGGATGTGCATTGTCATGCAATATCACAATATCTTTGAATAGTAGTCCTAAGGGATAATTTAGGCTTCAGCCCTTCAGTGAGCATCTCACTGTAAGGACCCCTGTTGACTGGTGGACCTTTTTTTCTGATACTGTTCCAATACTGGTCTTTGAGAATCCAGAAAACTGTAAGCATCAATTTTCCATCTGATGGTTGACTTTTGAACTTTTTCTTGGCTGGTGATTGCAGATGTTTCCCTTCTATACTCTGCCATTTACGCTCATGCTTGTAGCGATGGATTTATGTCTTGTCACCAGTAATGATTTTTTTAAAGAAACGTTTTTCTTCTTTTGAGTATTAGTACAAATTTTGTTTGCAGATGCCCAAACCCTTCTGTTTATTCTCTTCTATGAGTTGTTTTGATATCCATCTCACACAAACTTTTTGAAACCCAAGTCCATCGTGGATGATTTCATAGGCATAGCCATGGCTGATTTGCAAATGATTTGCCACATAATCCACTGTCACTTATCTATGTGACAGAATCATTTTATGTGCACATTCAATGTTGTCATCAGCCATGGATGTGGATGGGCATTTTAATATAACCAGAGGACAGATAATTTTGACTCACCCTTGTATAATTCTAAGAATTTCCAAATTTGGGTGTTGTCAGGGTTTTCAAGTGATTTGAGTCTTAAGTATATACCTAAAAAATGTTATGCTATGATAATCAAGTAAAAGTTGCTACAAAATTGCAGAAGACAATTTAGTAATTGGAAGTACATGAAGTTACTGGGTTATTAAGGAGAGCTATTCCTAACTGCATCTTTAAGTTGAATGTAGGTAAGACAGAACAGATGCATATGATTCTTATTTAGCCTTTACAATATGACATTCCATATATATGAAGTATAATTATTATATGGGTGCTCCTATTACAGGAAAAGGTGCCAAGACCTTTGTTGAATATTCAACAAGTGAAGGAGATTGTGGTCAAGAATTGGTTGTGAATAGGGGAACCCTGGGAGTAATGTAGGATAAGAACTGGACTGCTAACCACAAGTTTGGGAGTTCAAACCCCTCAGCCATACTGTAGGAGAAAGCTGAGGCTTTCTGTTCCAGTGAAGATTTACATCATTGAAAACCCTGTCCAGGGTTACTATGAGTTGGAACCAAGTTGATTACACTTAACAAAAATAACCACCATAGTTGTTCAGTTACCAGGAGTAGGTAGGAGGGAGGAGAAAAGGAAGACACAATGTATTGGAGACACCGCGTTTCTGTTAAGGCTGATGGCATGATTTGGGAAAGGATGGTGAACAATTATATCACTGAATTGTACATATAAAGATTATTTAAAATGTCAAATGATTTTGTTACATAGATGAGGGAGCTTCAAAAAGTCACGGAAAAATAGAATTGAAAAATAATGGAATTTTTCCATGAAGTTTTTGAAATTCCTTAATAATATCATCACAATATTAAAATGTAAGAATTTTAATGCCTAGGTCAAAGTTTGGTTGAGACAAAACAAGAGATTTCTCTAAATATCCAGACCCCTGATTTGCTAGAGCCAGTCTGCCTTCAGTTCTGGTTTCTCATCAGGATTTTTCCACTACGCATTACCTCATTTAGATGCCATTTATTGCTTCTGTTGGAGAGACCACCATAGTGTAGGGGTTCATAGTACAATTTCTAGAAGTTGAGTGCCTGGTTTCAAATTCTGGCATTGCTACTCACCAACTAACTATGTGAACTTGGGTAAGTTATTATTTTATGACATGAGATTAGAAAGCTACTGTTGTTATGTGCAGTGGACATAATGACATGGTGGACATGACTCATAGTGATCCTGTACAGGTTTCAGAAGCTGTAAATCTTTACAGGAACAGAAGGTCTCATCTTTCTCCTGCAGAACAGGTGATAGTTTCGAACTGCTGACCGTGAGATGAGCAGCCCAATTTGTAACCACTACGCTACCAGAGCTCCTTGAAATTAGAATACCTACCTCAATACAATCACTGTAAGAACAAAATAAATTATTAAATGCTAAGCTCCTCAGGCTCAGCAGTTCAAAACTACCAGCTGTTTGTGGGAGAAAGATGAGGCTTTCTGCTCCCATAAAGATTTACAGCTTCGGAAACTCTGTACAAGGTCATAACCAGCCAACCAACCATATTATTTAAGATACACTTGATTTTAAGTGGCAGAAACTCAGCTCAAAGTAGTCTAAGTATGAAAATGAAATGTATTGATTCATCCAACAGAAAAACACAAAAGTTGGACTAACTCAAGCATAGCTGAACCCAAGGACTGAAATGCTGCTTCCTCTCAGACTGGGATGGTCAGACCCAGTCTCTTACCTTGCCCCTAAATTGCAGCTGCCGCTGGTCACTCACTCACTAACCCCACCTGCACCAAAGTATCATGTCCCACCCTTCCCTGTGCGCATCCAAGAGGGAGCATCAAGGAAGTGTATGAGGCAGAGGTGCCACTCACCCAATATGGGGTTCCATAGACACTGTGCACCTGAACATCCCACCTGAAGGTTACTTCTTAGCACATCCCATCCCATCCCTAATGCCCCTTAGGGCTGGTAGTTGGTACCAGACCATGGGGTCCCAATTTCTCCCCCAATTCTGAGAGTGGGTCACCTGAGGGTGGGTCACTGGCTGCTGCTGCCCTGGCCTCAGCCCTCTGTGAGCACCCAGGAACTGCCGTGCAGCATTCTGTCCCTGCTGATTCCACTCCAGCACCCCCTCCACTCTGCCTAGCACTGCAATGACTTGGAAAGACCATGTCTCCTCTTCCCACCAGATGGTAAAATGCTCTGCAATACATGTTTTTTTTCTATGTACACATGAAGTTTTCTGTCCCGTCAGGGTCTTCTGTGCCCATTACTGTGTCCATTACCACATGTACATGATTAATGAGCAAAATAATTAGATAGTAGAGTTTTTTACTCTTCATAAATGCTGTGTCAGATAATGTGATGGTTGATAATTGAGGCATAGGTATACTTTGCTTGTCCTTCTGTCATCTTTTCTGGTTGGAGAAAGTAAAGGTCCCTTTTCTTTATTGCTCTACCACCACCAATGGAATCCACATAATATCCCTCGTCTCAATTGGACCTCTTGTTCTCCAAGGATGTGCTACTCTTTCACACTCAGGTTAGATGAAGCATCTTTGGATTCAAGACTTAGGTGAGGGGCAGTTGAATGGAGTAGCTCAGCTTGGCTAAGGAAAACTTCTTAAAAAGGTGTGTTTGTGTGTGTGTAATTGTCACACTCTCTTCTCCCAAGTCAACATTGCTAAAGCACTTAGTGTAGAGCCTGTACACGGTAGGCACCTAATAAATGATAGTTCCTCACCCTTCTTCCTGCCGGACCCCAATCTAGTGTTAGTTGTAACCAGCAACAACTAGCAGTTCCACCCCCCTGCTCATAGAAGTGTGTGAGCAGGAGAGGCCAAGCCTACTCACAGGACGTAGTTTCCTATCCTACCTTTGATCCCCTCCTAACCAATGATGCAGGCCTCTAGAAAGACTTAGAAATGCTTGCCTAGTTGACTGGCCTTTTTTTTTTTCCTTTTACCTGGTGGGAACTGATGGATTTCATGCTTGTCTTCATTCAGGATTGCAGAGAATACAACAACTTGCAAAAAACACAAGATACTTCAGAAAGAAGCTAAGTGAAATGGGATTCATTGTTTACGGCAATGAAAAATCACCTGTTGTTCCTGTGCTGCTTTATATGCCTGGTAAAGTAGCGTAAGTATCCAAGGGTCTCAGAATAATGCCTAAAATCCGGGAGGTCTAGGTAAGGAAGCACTGGACTGTGCACTTAGAATGAGTTCATCTTTATCATAAGCCACCTATCAGACATCAGCAAAGCCTTTCCATGGGTCTCATAGGGAGGGAACCAGATGCCAGACCCACTCTTCTACCTGACACCATTTTCAAATTGTGTGAATTTGGGAATTTCACTTACCTATCTAGGCCTACAACTGCGAATTAAGGAAGACAAAATATTTATCTTGAGCCTTTTTCTGACTCAAGATCTGTCTTGGGGAGAACTGAAGACAATGTTTTCTAACAAATAAATAATTCTGTGCTTTCTCCCAATAAATTATCATGACTATCACCTGGGAGGAAGTCATCATTACCATCTCCAGTTTATGCGTGGGGAAATTAAGGTTGAGAGCAGTTAAATGATTTGTCTGGAGTCATACAAGTCATGACATACTACAATCAAGACATTAAGTTAAAACTAATCTTACTCTAAAGTTAATGCTATTTAACACCCAGTTTTAATGCCTCTACTATAGGCCCGGGAATCCTGGTGTGGCTCTGTGGGCTAATGTGTCAGACTGCAAAGTCATTTGAACTGCAAATTCGGTGGTTCAAGCTCACCAGCTGCTCCTTGGAAACCCTATACAGGGTCGCTATGGGTCAGAATCAACTCGATGGCACTTAACAACAACATCTATAGGCCCATTTGGGGTTGTTTTCCATTGATTGCTACTATCATCAGTAACAATTGCATAATGAGAAAAACTAACCTTTTTCTCATTTAGACATGCACAATTTTATAAATGAGCCATCTTCAAGCCTGCTATAGATTAATTAAAACCCCATAATCTTTAAGTTGATTCCTACTTATCAACCTTATCAGACAAAATAGAACTCCCACATAGGGTTTACAAAAGCAAACTTCTACATCTTTCTTCAGTGAAGCAGGTAGTATTTTAAATCACTGAACTATCTGTTAGCAGCCAGATGCTTAACCATTCTGCTACCAGGACTCCTTCATAGACTAATTATCTCTGCTATTAAGAGGGGATTCACTTAAAATCCTTTCTAAATAGGAAATGTTTGTGTATGTCTCTGACCAAGCACATGGTGTAAAGCAATATTCATCTAATGTTTTTCTGATTTTAGCAGTTATGGGAGTCCTTTGGTTCTGTAGGAGAAACACTGGGCTGCAAACCACAAGGTTGGTGGTCTGAGCTGCTTCAAGGGGAAAAGATTAGGCTTTCAGCTCTTGCAAAGATTTACAGCCTTAGCAATTCTATATAGGGTCCATATAAGTCTGAACTGACTCAACTGCACTTAAAACAACAGGAAGTTCTGACTCTCCTCCAACACAACGTTTCTGCTTGTCTCTAATAGTTGAATCAATGCACAGAATGTTTGAAGTCCGGTATAGAATAGTAGCAGCCTATGAGTTGAGAGGAGTGCTGATGTGGCGTTGTGGGTTAATGCACTGGACTGCAAAGTCATTTGAATGATAAGTTGGCAGTTCAAGCTCACCAGCTGGTCCTCAGAAACCCTATACAGGGTCGCTATGGGTTGGAACCAACTTGGTGGCACTTCACAACAACATAAATTGAGAATTCATGGTGGGTAGGGCTGAGTTATATGTTCTAAAATCACTGATTCTTCAGCATATGTTTATGTCTCAGAGCAGCAACATAAGGAATTAAAAATATACATGTGAGATGTTTAGTATGCCACACCACTTCTCCCGGTTAACCCTTTCTTCACAACTCTAGATCAGAGAAAGCAGTTCAAGGAGTAGCCAAAAAGATAGCCTGCTATAGTATACTGTATACAGTACTGCTGTGTGCTAATAATGACAAGGAAAGTGACACAGAAATTCAAGGAGGCAAATCATTTACAATCCTCTCCTGTATAAATCTGGAAGGTGCAAAAGGAAATCAAAGAAACACATGATGCTTAACTCATGTCAGTTTGATATTTTATCATTACCTCAAATGAAGGCATCAAAAATACATTTTTGAATGTGCAAAGTGCAAATGTGGAGGCGTGGCAGTAGGGAATGTGCTGAATAGTTCCAATTTTATAGCAAAAGCTATAACTAAAATCTCAACAGACTGGGAAAATGAACTAAACTAGTGAGAAGCTTCAAAGAATAGTAAAAATAAATGCATTAAGTTTAAAAAAATAATAATAATCAACGGTGCAAGAACAGGACGAGCCGGGGAGTTCTCCTGTTCCTTTATGTGTAAAGAGACATAACTAGACAAGATTTAACATGACAAATAAAAGTACAACCGAGAGGCAAGCTTTGTATAAAAGGTATAATCTATGGGGTAGTGAAATATATAGAATCAAACAGAATTTTGACTCGACCCCTTTCTACTTGGAGGATCTTACACTAATTACAAGGAGCTCTGGTAGCGTAGTGGTTACAAATCGGGCTGCTAATCTCACCGTCAGCAGTTCCAAACTACCAGCAGTTCCGCGGGAGAAAGATGAGGCTTTCAGCTTCCGTACAGATTTACAGCCTCAGAAACCCTATACGGGATCGCTATGAGTCGGAATCGACTCCACAGCACATAACAACAACAACAACACTATTTACACAACCTTCTAAAGCCCCAGTTTTATAATTTATGGAGGTGGTGTTGGTGGGGACAGTTCTGACTCATAGTGACCCTGTATAGGGCTTTGGAGACTAAATCTTTACAGGAGCAGAAAACCTCATCTTTCACTCGTGGAGTGGTTGGTAGTTTTGAACTTCTGTCCTTAAGGTTAGCAGCCCGACTCACTTTGCTTTTGTCATTATAAAACAGGGTATAATAGTACCCAGGTGTGGTGCTCTACTATCAGCACTGGATTAAGAACCACAAAATCAGAAGTTCAAACCCACCAGCTGTTCTTCAGAATCGACTCCACGACACTTAACAACAACAATAACAACACTTCATAAGGCCATTGTGAAGATTAAACCAGATGAGGTCTATGCAGCGTTTGACATGTTGTCCGTTATTAATATTAGCAATATTAATAACATGCATAAAGGACTTGGGAGTGCTGTGGCTTTGTAGGGTAAGCACTAGACTACTAACTACATAGTAGTGATGCCATACCGATAAGCACTGAGCTGTGAACCACAAGGTCCACGGTTTGAGCCCACCAACTACTCCTGGGGAAAAGATGAAGCTCTCTGCTCCTGCAAAAGATTTGAAGGCTTAGAAAGCCTATACAGGGGCACTAGGAGTCAGAACAGACTCAATGGCTCTTAACAACAACAAAGAACAGCCACCATAAAGTTGGAGGTTTGAGTTCAACAGCTGCCCCTCAGGAAAAAAAGAAAAGTGAAGCTTACTGCTCAGGCCTCAGAACCCCTATACAGGATTGCTCTGATTCCAAACAGATTTGAAGGCACTTAACAACAACACAAAGCACTTAGTACTGCGGCTGGCATAATTTAAGTATTCAGTCATGGTATTCATGTGTAATAACAGTAGCAGTGATACTTCAGCTGCTATTACTACTATAATTATTATTATGACATTCAGCTCTGTGCAAGTTTAAGCTGAGTTTACATGGTTGCATGAGTCTCCAAATAACAATTACAATTTTGGGTTATTAATTAGAAACCATTAAAATAGTGGATAAAAATGCTGCTATCTTCTGCACCAATTAGGATATGTTCAACATTTGATAAAACAAACTGTTTCATTTCTTCACAGAAGATTGTTTTTAAGAAGGTTGCTGAGAGGACCAATGGTGGTTCAGTTGTAGAATTCTTGCCGTCAATAAAAGATAGCCAGCCAATGCACCTCATGTACAGCCAGCATCAGTCTGTGTCCATCTGTCTGTCTGTTGGGGCTTGCATGCTGCTCTAATGCTGAGCAGATTTCAGTGAAGCATTTAGATGAAAGCACAATGAGTAGAAAGACCTGGTTATCTACTTCTACAAACCAGCCAATGAAATCCTATGCATCATAACAGTCCCTTCAATAACCAATAATAGGGATGACACAAGACTGAGCAGCATTTCCTCCATTGTGCATGGGTTTGGCCATAGGTCAGGGGCCTTCTTAATGGTAGCTAGCAATGACATTTCTGAATAATGATTGTATACTCACTGTGACTGGAAGAACCTGGGAGCACCCACTGACGATAGGAGCCTTAAACTTATTTTCCAAACAAGAAAGCTGAAACTTAGGTAATATTCCTGTCTAAGATCCAATTACACTCAGATTTCAAACCAGAGCTCATTTCAACACACATCCTATCCTCTTAAGTTTTCACCCATATTTTTAAATGAACATCTCAATAAAACAACAGAGTTTAAATTTAACTCTCATGTCATTGCTGATTATTCTAAAGGCATCAATTACTACAAGGAAAACACTCTAATTATATGTCTTAAATGAAAAGCTTATATAGAGAGAAATGTTTGATATAAGAAGTTAATTGTATAACCACTTCTTTCATTTGCTAATTTAAAAACCTTTGGTTTTATTAAAGAAGTGGGATTTCTTCTCTTTTCCACTAACTGTTACTGTTGTTAAGTGCCCTTGAGTTGGTTCCAACTCATGGAGACCCTGTATAGGGTTTCCAAGGAGCAGCCAGTGAGTTTGAACCACCAACTTTACAGTTCAAACCAACCTTGAGGTCCAGTGCATATCCTACAGCACCACACCAGAATTCCATCTACTATTGCAGAATGAGAATATAAATTCTAGCCAGTTATCTTGTTAAACAAAGTCTGATTCCTACTTTACCACTGAAATGTTCTATGGAGTTCAACAAGCTATGATTTCACCTGAAGAGTATTCTCTTAAATCAAGGGTATCAAGGCTATGTTGTACTTATTCCTTGCTATGCGATTTGCATCTTATTCCACAGTCCTCACCAGGCACTTGGAAAATGGTGACACACAACTTGCTGTGGTACTACAAGCAAACAGTACTGATTTTTTTATTATTATTTCACATAATTTACTTTCTTTCAGTCTATACCAGCTCTAATTAGTGTTGGGAAGTGCAAACCCAGAGTCTCATATATAAAGGCAATCACACACATTAATTTAATCAAATTAAGTTAGATTTAGTAGTACATGGCCTAAACTCAAAAGTGCTCCAAGAAAGCCTCAGGTTGGCCTCAAGAATTAACAGTAATATATTTTGTGGTATATTCTTTGGTAAATGTGCTTCCTTTGATACAAAGAGCAACAGTCAGACAGTAAGAGCAATCTTTAGAGAGTCCTGAAAACTGCCTGAGATCATGGGTCAGGTGGTTTGTACTTTAGCAATAAAGGCACTTCAGTTGTTTCTCAGACAGTTATGAGCTCTCATTCTGTGTAGTTCCGTGGGCAGCCTTCCATAGGGTGATCAAGAAAGAGAAAGAACAGCCTTTGTTTTCAAGTTTCCTCAGCTAGAAAGCTTCATCTCCTTGTAACTTTCCCAGCCCCAATCATAGGGCGAATCTTGCCTGGCCCAAACCAGGGGGCCAGGAGGCTGTTTGCTCAGTAGGTCTTGCAGTCTCCATTGCTTCCTTTGATACACTACATTCTGCATGAGGAAGCTCAAAGACAGACTGCTAACTAGAGGGAGAGAGAGGTGAATGGACAAGCAGACTGACTCTCATCGTCTGGTTCAGGCATTCTTCCTGAATCATGACTAGAAGGTTCGGTGGTGCTGTTAGGCTTTCAGCCTAAAATAATACACCAGCAACCTCTTAATGTTAAGAACAGATCTGTGGCATTTACTTCACTTGTGGGTAGAGGCACTCAGTAATTAAGGTTTCCTACAGAGAGCTTCAGAGCCCAGAGGAGAAATAATTGACTTTCGGGGTAATGCCCTTTTGTATGGTATTGGCACTTAATACAAGAAATGTACAGCTTTAAGGGCTCGGTATTCTAGGTCCATTACTGAGATTAGCAGCTGAGGAAAAGAAGCCTTACCTGCAGCTAAAAGCTTTGTAGTTACGTGACTTCGATCCTATGAGCTACATACACATCCTCACACTTTTCTTTTCCTATCTCCTCTTGCTCCTTTCCTCCTTAACCTGCTTAATGGCTTATTATCTGTGAATACAACTGGATATGTTCATTCACATATTTAAAAATGAGACCTTTGCTATGTCTAGTTTCATGAGGTAAATGCCACAGGTCTGCTCTTAATGTTAAGAGGTTGCTGGTGAATTATTTTAGGCTGAAAGCTATTATTTTAGGCTGAAAGAAACTTCCAGCTATAATTCTGGAAGAATGTTTGACCCAGACATTGAAACTCAGGTTTTTTGCTCATTCACCTCTCTTTCTCTCTTTATATGACTAGTACAAATTATATAAAGAAAAAGCATTTATATGACTGCCATAAATCAAGTTTTTTAAAAAAAAAAAATGTAGGTTGGCCTTTAATATATTATTGTTGTTATTGTTAACTTCCATCAAGTCAGTCACATGGTGACCCTGACCCCACGCACAATGGATGGTCTTCTACCAACCCAAGATCAGTTGCAGATTGATTCATTGTAATCCACAGGGTTTTTACTGGCTGATTTTTTAAAGTAGAGCACCAGGTCTTTCTTCCTAGTTCTATAAGTCTGGAAGTTCCACTTAAACTGGTTTGGCACCATAGCAACATGAATGGTAGCTGCATATTAGGTACATTGGCAAGGACTTGAAACCAGGTCTCCCACATGGACGGTGAACATTTTACTTTGGAACCACGATGCCCATTTAATATATATGCTTTCTTCATGGGATTACATTGTGTTCACTGTTTTTTCTTCCTAGAATTCTGGAAGATAAAGGATTCTATATCAACGCAGACATATTAAACCAGAGTCATATGTATCAGCATTTTCTATTCAATGTCAAAGATAGCACTCAAGACTCTTTAATCAGGGCCCACAGTCCTACATACTCAGTTATGGATATGTCCAGTAATTGACTATACCATTAGCTAGTCAGTAATAGTTAACAGATTTTTAATAACTTCAACTATCTTCTACTCGTGATTTTTAAAAGTCAGTCAAACTCATTTTGTTGTATGTATGGTTTTTGCTTTGTTTTGTTTTTTGAGGGTAATTCTGTCTTCTCTTACCTAACCTTTTTTGTTTGTTTGCTTTTCCCTTAGGGCTTTTGCAAGAAGTCTTTTACAGAAAAAAATCGGGGTAGTGGTCGTTGGGTTTCCAGCCACGCCTCTTGCTGAAGCCCGGGCTCGATTTTGTATTTCAGCAGCACATACACGAAAGAATTTAAACACAGTGAGTATGCCACAGGCTAATGGTGTTGTCTTCTGGGGTCTCCAGTCCTTTGCCCTTAGATTCTGAACAAGTTCTTTCAATGAACCAGTATTTGAGGTTCCAAGGGTTTGTTTGGGATTTTTTTTTTTGGAAGGGTGGTTAAGAAAAACAGCACTTTTGAAACTAACTGCTGAAGAAACAAGTGTATTCCAGAAATGCCCACCAATGTTCTCAAGTCAGTAGATATTACAGGAAAGCATTCTAGGAAGATGGGTCAAGTCATTGTTTAGGCTTCATAGAAAAGACTAACTGAATGGTGTTTTATTTACTTGTTCTTCAATAGAAAATCTGATTTAATATGCTCTTTCAGCATTAACTTCCCCTATCCCGATATTTTTCACAGTCAACAGATCTGGTCGTGTAAAAATTACCCAACAAAACAATATGTTGGTAACCAGAATAAACAGATTTATCATAACAGCCAATTATAAACCGCATTTTATTATTCCTTTGTTTAATCCTTGATGTAAATTAATAATATCAGAGAACTAGCCATATCAGTCAGATTGGGGTTGATGAAACTCTTATAATGTTAAAGCAGTTTAGCAAACATTATTGAGTGTTTACTATGGATAAATCTCTGGGGCAAAGTGGCACCATTGTCCTCAAGGAGATTCCAGTCAAAGGAAAAATACTAATAAATATGTAACTAATGGACTTCTGCTATGGTACTGTAGGATCAACACTGGACTGCTAACCACAAGGTTGGCAGTTCAAACCCACCAACCTCTCCTTGGAAACCCTATACAGGGTTGCTATGAGTCAGAAGTGACTCAATGGCATATAACAACAGCAATGATAATATCAGATAATAAAATCACCTTGGGAAAGAAATATAGATAACTTCAGGGCCGTAGAGGTGCGAACAAATTATAATGGGGAATTTTCATAGGTAAGATGACTTTCAAGTTAAATATTTTTGATAATGGTTGTGAACCATCATCTGACATTTCAGATCAAACTGATATTTTCACATCACAATAAAGTAAATGTGATAATTGGATGCAAGGGAAAAGAGACAAAAGGAAGAAGACGTAAACAAAGCTATTGGAACAAAATAATAGATAACAAGTTGAGTGGCACCGGAAACAAACTAACAAACAAAAAAATGTATCAATAAACAGTCTTTTCACATGCATGGAGTTGCCAAAACTTGGCAAATGATAGGATGCAGGTCATGTGTAGGAATCAAAGATAACTTAAGGTCTCTATCTCCAGTGAATAGAAGGATGGTAAAGCAGTTAAATGAGATTAAATGTATGGTCTGAAATAGCAAATCTTCCATGGGAATGGAGGAATGAAATAAGTTCAGTTTTAGACATGTTGAGGTTAGGTGTACACAAGCGATCCATAGACGTGAGAAAGAAAGAGGTGAATAGAAAATCAGAGTCTAGAAATTAGGAACACAGGCAAGGCTGGAGCTGCTTTAGTTTGAGGAACTAAATTATCATTAAAGTCGATGGTTGTTAAGTGCTGTAGAGTTGGTTTCAATTCTCAGTAACCCTGGTTTCTCAGGATTCACTGGTGAGTTTCAACCACCGACCCTGTGGTTCACACTCCAGTGTTTATCCCACAGTGCCACACCAGGAGTCCGTGGTAGAAGCCAATGATAGAAAGTGTAATTCTCTTCTACCATTATACCTGTGGAATCCTGGTATGGCATTGTAGGATAAGCACTGCGCTTCTAACTACAAGGTCAGCGGTTCAAACCCACCAGCCGCTCCTTTGAAACCCTGTACAGGGTTGCTATGAGTCAGAAGTGACTCAATGGCACTTAATAATAGTAAAATTTATATATTTAAGAGCTATAATGAGAGTGAGCAGGCCAAAGGCAGACTCGTATGGAGTGGCAGAGTGGTACTCTCGGGTGAATTGTGCAATTACAGATGAAGAACCAGACTTAGAGGCAGCGAAAGAAGTTGTACAAGAAATGCTATTAGTGTAATGTCACACATGGGAAAAAAAGAAAATTTCAAAGCAGTAGGGCCAAAAATGTACAGAAAAAGTATAGAAAGTTCAAGTAGCATGAAAGATGAAATGAAACTATGAATTAAATATCAGTAGGAGCTCAGGGAGGACAATTTTAGTAGATGCAAAAAACAAGACTACAAGAAATAACAAAATAAAGAGGATAGTCTGAGCTCATGTTACATACATGGACGCACATGCGTATATGTGCATGCTCCGTGCCCCAATCTTTCTCTTTCATCATCTTCTTAGGATTTAGACCAATCGTAGGTATACACTAAAATGTTATTGAATGATATGCTAACAGGTGGGTTGGAAATGTAAAGGTAGAC